AAATTGCAAACTTCTGCTTATGATACATCATTGAAAAGTTTATAAAAATGCTATCCAATGGTATAAATAATAATTATACGGGGTGAAGCAATAAGAGCAGACGTTACTAAACACAATTTGTGATACTGGGAAACAGTTTGGTTTAACAATAAACTTAAAGAAAACAAAAACCATGGTTATCAGTAAGAGGGGCAAAGTCATTACAAGGATCTAGATAAAAAATGAAGATATTGGGCAAGTGGACAAAATGAAATACTTAGGAGTCCCGTTTACGGAAGATCTGAATCCGAAATTAGAAATTCGCTCAAGAATAGAGAAATCAAGAGCAGCCTTTTTGAATGTGAGTAAATTTTTGAGTAACCAAAGACTCAATCTGCAAATCCGGTATTGGATGATAAAATGTTATATTCGCTCTATTCTTCTTTATTGTGTCGAAGCCTGGACTGTCAATATTGCATTAATGAGAAAACTGGAATCTTTTGAGATGTGGCTTTTTAGGGGAATGTTGAAAATACCATGGATCGATCATATTACGAACGAAATGGTGTTTCACAGAATGGGAAGAGACAGAGAACTTTTGACCACCATTAAAAGACGAAAACAGTATATTTGGGGCACATACTTAGAAATGGTAAGTACGAATTGTTGCAGCTTATTATAAATGGTAAAATCGAAGGAAAAAGGAATCCTAGTAGACGACAAATATCCTGGCTGAAAAACATTCGCGACTGGACCAGGTTAAACCCATAGACGCTCTTAAAAAAAGCAGAAGATAGAGACAAATTTGCAATGGTTATAGCCAACCTTCATTAGTGGAGACGGCACTAGAAGAAGAAGAAGCAATAAAAGAAAAATATAATTAGGTTTCGTTGTTTTGTAAACAATAATACAGCCCATTTTCAAATTCTGCACCAACTTTGGCAAATGTTGTTCTAGTAATAGCGCGACATGCTTGCGTAATTCTTTCTCGCAATTCGTCAAGTGACGCGGCTTGAGTTTTATAAACAACTGACTTAAGGTAACCCCATAGAAAAAAGTCAGGTGGCGGTAAGTCTGGCCCCTTGATGGCCACTCAATAGGACCGCTCCTTCCAATCCATTTATTCGGATAATTAGTATCTCTCCAGTGCCTAATTGGAGCTGCATAGTGAGGAGGTGCTCCATCTAATTGGAAGTGCAGAAATTCTTCGTCTAGAGCTAGGTTGCCTTGATCATCCCTTTGGTTCTCTAATTCATGCACAATTAAAGGTTCGATGGTGTTTTCCAGCATATCGAAATAAATTTCGGCACTTAAATTAATATAAACAAGGGGCCAATTATAGCATCGCCTAATATTCTTGCCCAAATATTCAGTATTTCAGGATATTGAGTGTGACCGTCTCCGAATCGATGCGGGTCCGCATCACTCCATTACTCACGGTCCAGGTACCGAAAGTTTTGTTTGTTTACATTACCATTCAGCATAAAAGTAGATTTATCAGTGAAAGAAATATTTTTTAACATTCTTGGTTCAACGCGAATTCTTTCAGTCATGAGTTCACAGAACTCAATCCGTCGGTCTGGTCATCATCGTCTTGTTCTTGAAGAATTTGTGTTTTGTACGGATGAAACTTGTAATTTCAACGCCTTTCTAACCGACTCATGTGAAAGTCTTCATTGCAGATACATGAAGCGTTGATGCAGTAGGCTCGATTGCAAAATTTCCAAGGACCTCAATTTGGGATGCTTCATTCAGTAATCTTGGGACATGGATCGCATTTCTCTAAACTTTTTAACTAAATCGCGGACGTATACGTGACTTATATTTTTGTCCGGATGCCTTTCATGAAATATTTAAGCTGTTTGTAAATAACACTGGTTCTAGGAGGCAAACATGAAAAGGATCTCTACGCGTTCAGATATACTGTAGTGTAAACCATAGTGATAACTACAGCTGAATGACAGTACCGATCTTACAAATGATAAAAACTACTTTACTTACTTAATCAGTAGACCCATTTGTACCTTTCGGTGTTGGACCAAGGCCATGATGAAAATTAATGACTTTAAAATTCTCAAATAACCCAAAAATTATTGAATCTGACCGTTGATTGAATTATTGGATCTCCTATAATATTTCAATCACCGATCTGAAAGAACCCAAAAACAGATGTTTTCAACTTATAAAAACTTAATTTGCAAAAACGGCAAATTTTTCATTTAACAAAATAAAATCCGACGGGTACTTATTATTAAAAATAATAGTCCGGGAGCTAGCATTACAAATACAAAAGTAATCGTAAACCGGCTGATATTGACACCCTGTGGAATTATTAAACAATTAAATTATACAGGGTTATCAACAGAATCAACAAAAACCTCATTAAATTTTCCATTTAAGCCAAAGTTTCACAATTATTGCTTCACCCGGTATAATTATTATGTATACCATTGGATAGCAATTTTTATAGTCTTTTTAATGATGGATCACAAGTAGGGGTTTGCAATTTAAACTTTTTTAGTTGTGGTGGGTGGGGCCTAGGGGGTTGATGGGGGTGAGTTCTCTTTCAAGTCATTTTTTCCCCTTATTATCCTAGAAACGGTTTCAAGCATTTTTCGATATCAGCTTTTGTTCGTGAGATATAACCCATCGTAAGTTTTAAAATTGACATATTGTATATTTTCTTTTCTAAATATTCTATAGATTTTCTTCAAAGATAATGTTACTTATACTAAATGTATTTTTTTGATTACTTTAAAAGGCAGAAAGTGGACACGGATCGCACTTAACGAAACCATCAACAATGAAATAGACTATTCTTTCAAAGAACAAAAGAATATTTTAAGACGTCACAGCAATACACAACGTAACAACTAATAGTGACCATCGTATAGTTAGGCCGAAAATAAATATTAACATGTGCCTTCAAAGTAAGAACAAATGGACAGGAATTCCGAAAGGAATTAGTAAATTTGAATCAGTTAACAAAAACATAAATAAAAACCTTCTTGAATCTGGACTATAGGTCGCAAAGAAAACAAGAGCTAAATAAAACCAAATAATCAATGAAACTTAAGGGACTAATGAAGGAAAGCAGATAAGTGATAGCGAAAAACAAACACCACACTTCGAACACGTAGAACTAAATAAAAAAAATAGAGAAAAAAAAAACTAAAATGTGACATCAAAAAATGGAACGAGAACTTAATAGAGAAAATAGTAGAAACAAGATGGATGAAGTAGAGATCCTATCTCTACTTCATTGGATCAAATCTATCTCCTCAAGAACTTTCCGTTTACTGTCAAACAACTACAATAGCAGAATTAAGTTCTCCATTCAACAATACATGATAGTTTCAACCATGTTCAACCATCCATCAATTAATAGAGTACCGGCATGTAAGTAATGTTTATTTATTTGCTCATTTATTAATTTATTACAATCTAATAGACTATTTTATAACAATTTGTGGGTCTTACCTTGTCTGTTTAAACTTTTAAAACTTTTTATACCTTTTTGTTCGTTTTACTCATTTTGAAAAAACCACAGACATGTAATATTGGCATAATTATTGTAATTTATAACATCTAATTTGTTTATCTTTATTAGACAACACCCTAATATGGGTTTTTATTATTTCAGCATTTATTTAACTTTGTATCGAGACCTGAAGATGCTTTGCATATTGTAGAAAGCGACACCGGTCGTCTGATAGTTAAATTAAATTTATTGTGAGTAAGTCTTATTTATTATTTCTTTACCTATTTATAAAGAAGTATTTATTAAATAAATATTTTTAGTCACACCTCTTACATCCTAGTCGTTTTTTCAAGATCCGCGCTGTTCTATAAGGTTGTTTTCTTCTTTATCTATTAACGATATTTTCCTCCAGCGCGTGTGATATCTTTTTTTCTTATTATGATTACCGGCTCCTTTGCCCCTTTTTTAACTCTCCCTTTGGCTTTCATATTGTCCTAGTGATGTTCGTAATTTTCTTCCATGCATTTTGGTCTGTCTGTAATGATTTCGTCCGAAGTGAGTTCATTATCCATGTTCATGGGAGACATGCCGATGGAGCTTTTGGATGTTCAAAAGCTAAATGTCAGGGAACGTGAAGAAGTAAATATGGTGTCTAAAAGAAAAGGTAGAACCATGAAATATATAAAAAATACAAATTTATATTATTTTGAAAGTACGTAATATCTTATAAAAATAGGAAGATTGAGATGGACAAGACATCTAGCACATTCACAAGAGAACAACTCTCTTAGAAGAATCCTTATGTCATAAACCGAGAAAATTAGATATACAAAATTATATGGAAGGATTATGTAACGGGGATGCTATAAAAATTTAGCGTGACAAATTCGTAACAGATGTCAATGGTAAGGACTTAACGAAAAAGATATTATACAGCTGTTTGGAATTGTAGGTTTTTAATTTAATTAAGTATCTAAAGAAGTTTATCATCCCATAATTAGTGCCAAACTAAACCTCATGCTTTATAGTACACTCCAATAACTCGCTCAGACTGACTTCAGCTTCCATACATTATTCTTCTTTTGGCATCATAACGCTGGATGGGTCTTTGCCGATCCTTCCATTCAGACCTCTCTTGTGTCCTTCTCATCCCTATTCTTACATTCATAGTTTTCAGGTCATCTTTCACGTTTTCTAACCATTTCGTCTTTTCCTTTTTTTTTCGTCTTCCATCAACGGGATTCATTATAATATTTTCTTTGTTCATCTTCTATCTTCTTATCTCTGGACATGTCCTAGCCATACATCTTACAATATCGTGCCCTGCATCCAATTCATTGATCTCATCGTTTCTCCTGATTCTCCATATGTCGTCTTCTTCTTCCACCGGACCGTATACTTTTCACAGTATCTTTCTCTCGCATATCTTGAGTTGCGCTTCATCTTTTTTGTCATTACCAAGGTCTCAAAACCATAGGTTACTACTGGCCTAATTAATGTTCTGTAGCTTTCGTACATGATCCAATTAAAATTGTACTATTAAAACACATGCTTAGAAATCAAGTTTTTTATTTAAAATAAAACGTAACTAAACGTAATACCAATATTTTGTTTACAATTAGACTTTTGGAAGTGCAGCAACAATACCTTTCTCGAAACCTGCTTCATTATGTCCGCGACGTATTTTAAACAACCCCTTGTCTCCCCAATCTTCATTCCATGAATTAGCAACCAACCAATAAGGAACTCCATTCTCTTCTCCCCAACCTAAAATTCTGACAGCATGTCCTCCTAATAATGTGCCGGCAACATGTTGATAAACACCTAAAATAAATTTATTTAAGAATAAAATACTTCATACATTGGTACTAGATACTGCAATAAACTTAACACAGATCTGAAAGTTAAAATGTCCAATAAAATATTGCTCAATACATTTGTGGTTAAACCCAAAAAGATATAATAATTAAAACCATAAATTATTATTCCTAATTTGAACATCATTGTTATTTATTGTAAATATTTTCAATAAACTTTGATCTAGATTGAGATGGTACTTTTCATTACTACCTGCTTTTTAACTGCCATTAAATATGCTGCTAAGAGTATGGCATCACAAATAAACGTCGGTGCAACCGAATATCTCGAAAATTGCAGTAATACAAGACAGGTACAAAAGTCGAACATACTTATAAGAAGGCACATCTGAACGAGCATGGTATTAATATAAATGGAGAGAAGCTCACTCATTTGAGATTTGCAGATGGATGCAAGGCGCACAAGACAGAGACAGATGGAAAGAGCTGAGGGAGACATATGTCCAGCAGTGGACGCATACAGGTTGATGATGATGATCAGAATCGAAGATTCATACACAAAATGAAGAGTGGTGATTTCGAGCACTGCTTTAGTTTTAAATACTACCGGTAAGCAGCAGTACTTCAATCCAAGCAAATCAAGGCAGTCATGAAACTGGGAATAGGTCATTCTTCAAACTAAATACAGTATTTAAAATGCTGTTACTGAATAGAACATTAAAAATCGAAGTTTCCAAAGGGGTAATAAGAGGTGTGACATTCTATGGGATAGAAACATAAAGGAAGAGTGAAGATCAACTACTTAGGAAAGAACGATTTTAAGAAAGATCTATGGAACTGTTTGTAAGCAAAGGATGTGGCGTCTAAGAAGTATCAACTAAGTGGCTAGGATTTAAGAATAATCTGACTTGGTGGTTAAGATCGAAGAAGTCAGACTAAGATAGACAGACTATATGGAAAAAATTCGACAAGTACGGTTAGTTGATAAACCCTACCAACGGACTCTAATAGGCAGAAGACATCGAGAAACTCAAGAATGATCTGCTTTGAGTCAGATAATTAGTCAGGGTTCATAAAATATTTTTTAATTTTAAAACCAAAATATTTTTTATTTAAAACAAAATATGCCTCAAACGTACGCGGTCGCAGCTAGTATGATTTAAATAATGTAACTGCATTGAAAAAAAAATTAGTAAAAAATTCCGAAAAATGCACAGAAATGGACGTCACCTACAGTAGCGGAGAGATAAGTAGAGTACCTAATCAGTTGCAAAAGAACTTAATACACAGATACACAGTGTTAAGTATATCTGTACATCTAATTTTACTCCGCGCATAATAAATACTTGGTTTTTGAATTTGTTGCATAATTATGAAAACTTACCACTTTTGTAATTCACGAAGTCGCTGTACACATTAAAAGCTGCTTCTACCGGACCATTCGTCAATATTTCTTTTTGAATATTAGGAACAGAAGTGAAGTGAGCCACTGAACTTGAAGCAAAAGTTATCTCTGAATTATAGTTGAGTGCGGGATCGTCACATTGCTTTTTGCAAGAAGGTGTATCGTAGTTCAAAGTGCTGCATTGTACTTTAGTACCATTTGAATGATGTTCACATGGTTGAAGTGAATAAGATTGACAACCCTAAAACAATATAGTTTTGGCGTATAAAAGAATTGATTTTATATATACACACATCAAAATAATATAGGGAAAACCTATATAAATAGATTTAAATCAATGTTAGCTGCAAATACAAAAATAAATTTATGTTTTTAAACATTTTTTTAACAGAAAAAAATTTGGAGACGATCTGGCAGTGCTGAATCATTGGCCACTATGCATGGAGGTTTAAATGCAATAGACTACTGCGATATTATTCTCGAACCTATTGTTGTACTCTTTGCACAACAAGCCCCCAATGGTTCCCAATTTAAATTAATGCACGAAAATGCGCGTCCGCATACTGCCATTGTAGTGCAAACATGCCTCGAAGATAAGAGAATTAAGGTTTTATCATGGCCTGCACAATCGCCAGATTTAAACCCAATTGAGCATGCATGCTCAATCGGCTTTACAATTTTGGCAATCCCAATTGGACATATTGGGCAGACACATTTTACAACAAAATATTTCGTTCAGCATAAGACAGCAATTGTTTCAATGGCGTGGAACAAAATACCGCAGCAAGATATTGACCATCTGATCATGAGTTTACCTTACAGATGTAGGAGAGTAATCAACAACCAAGGTAATACACTATACTAACTTAAGCTAAAGACTAATTTGTTGGGAGTTGAGGGGCAACAAATTAGTTAGAGCAACATTATATTCATATATGGTTTTATTTGTGTTGAAAGTGAAAAAGACTTATTTCCGACGTATGGTGAATTGTGAAATTTAAAATATTAGTTAAAATTAAATGTACAAATATGTATGAATAGTGTTTCATTTCAAAATTCAGGGAAAACTGTTTGAGTTTGTATTTAACGATGGGGATTATAAAACAGCGATTAACCGTAATAATCTATTGTCTTTCAAATCGGAGAAAATTTGAGAAAGTTAATTTATGCAAAGTCTTTTATCTGATTTATATCTAAAACCAGAAAATAATAAATAAGATGTGTATCCGAGGAATTAAGAATTCTACTAGTGTGTTTGAAATACTAAAATATGATTGGTTGGAAAGAGAGAATTGCAGAAAAGTAGTTATGTTTTGAATTTTTAAAGCGGAAAAAAGTCATAATCATTTGGTTTATTTACGTGAAAAGAATAACATCTAAAGCTGAAAAGAGATTGCATGCCGGTGAATTTGAACGGTAGAAAAAAATTAAGATGTGAGAATAAAAAAGTAATTTTGTTTTCGAAAGTGTTTGAAAAAGTGATAGCAGTGGTGGTTCAATGTATTCTGTTTGGTAACAGTACAGAAGTTCATGTTTAAGTACCAATAAATTATTATTGCATCGAGAGATGCTTAGGTTAGAAGAATTTAGTATCAGGAAAGAGATATGAGCTTTGGTTAGGACGTGAGATCGAGATTCGTTTTTGGGAGCACATCCAAGGAGGGAGTTTATCTAGCAGTCTTGATAGTAATTACTAGGCGTATATATTAAACTATACAACTGTCAATTGTTATATCTTATATTTTTATTGACTAAAACATGCATTGTCATATTCCACATGAAGACGATCACTACTTTTTGTTGTTCTGCTTCTAGTGGAAAGTTCAACTACCAAACACTCGTAATTTTCTCAAATTATCTAATAAATTATAATACCGTAAAACGGGGTTACATTGAACCCGAGGGTTACATTGAACAGTTTTGCAATGAAGATTATATTTTTCTACAAGTTGGCCTAAACTTTTTTTTTGGGGCCGATATATTTTTTTGAGGGTTGCAAATATGTTTTTCTTGGACTTCCTGATAAAATTTCTGGCAGGTTCTCAAAATTAACAAAAATGAAATAAAAAATGGTTTCTGAAATAAAAGGTAGTAAAAAAAATCTCTCAAACTTCGGTCTGCAGCCGGCGATATGCAAAAGATATCTTCTCATGACTAATTTTACACGATACTAGTACCTATTTGAACCTTATTCTACATAATACCGTAAATGATTAGGGTTTTGAATATTTTTAATTAATTTATACAAAAAATATGTCAATTATTTTGGGAACGTGGGGTAACATTGAACGGCAGGATTGAACGTGCTTGGGCGGCGTCAGTCGAGTTCCATCTAATAAATATTATTGTCTGGCGTTACGCTACCTCGTTTTGAATCATTTGAATGAAATTCACACAAGGATCTACAGACCGAGAATTTGGCATCCAAATTCCACGGCTTCGCGCAATCGTACTTGTAAGTTCGTATAGTCGGCTGGAGTTACAATTTGCCAAATGGCTGTTTTCGCAGTTATAGCATACTGCGATTTGAAGTGGGCGTATCACTTACTTTTCTACACTGCTATGTTAGACCGTACGCCGTACGTGACTTCCTAATAGTTTGTATGTTTATTCAGTGGCGCCGGCCCACGGGTTGTTTAAAATAAATGCATTATTCTCCATTCAAATTAGTTTTGTCGGAATACTTTTTTTTGATTAATTATCGTAGATAATGTTTTAAAAAGAATTAATCACATTTTTAATTTATATGTCTTAGCTAAACATAGTATTAAATAAAAATTTGTGAAACGTGACTGCAAAAAACACCATGGTGTTTATTTATAATAAATTTAAAATAACATAAGAATATTATTATCAAAAAAATTACAATTTGTTGTCACAAACAAATAAACAATTTCGCAGTTATAGCTTGAAAATTATTTCAAGAAGTTATTTATTTGTTAGAGAAAACTGATATTAGCGTAGTAAGAATTAAACAAAAAATAGTTTTATTTATCTATAAAAAATTGGTACCTGCGAAACCATCATAATAGTAAATGTATTTATCTGGCAAGTATTTCGAGGCGACGCACTGCAAGGAAAAAGTTCTCTGAATGGAATATACATTATTTTAATATATTTATAGGTTGCAGTTACTAAGAAAAGTATCCAATTGATGAATAAAACACAAATCGTGGATAGTTATTTCATCATATCAGTGGCATTACAGCTCGTCATGAGCCAAAGGCTTCTTCAGAACAATCTTCCATTCGCCCCTGCCTCTGGCAACTTTCTCCATGCTTTAACTCCGATGGATTTTAGATCATCCTCTATGTTATCTTGATACCTAAGTTTTGGTCTTCCTCTGGATCGTCTTCCCACTGGTCCTCTTCGGTCGAAAATTTTTCTGATCGTTTCATCTTCATCTCGCCTAATTACATGTCCTATCCATCAAAGGCGTACTAATTTAATAAATTTTACAACGTCAGGTACTACACCTGAAGAAGCATCGTAGTTTACTTTATACGATCTTTTTGACCAAGCACCATCAGCTATAACGGTTATTAACCCATTTCCGTCGGAATCTACTTCACCAATTTCTTTGGCTAAAGCTAATTCCTCCCGTCCAGCCTCTTCTAAGGAATCACAAAGTGTTTGGCCGATGATATCTGCAACTGTTTCCGTATGTTTTGCATACTGCCTGTAGGAAATCACAGGTATATTTAATGCAGCGTGCTGCTGCTGTATGTCTGAATAACCAGAACCATTCAAGTTCAGTGAATTGTTACCAGAATCCTATGTTGCTATCTCCTTTTCAATATTCCACATTTGACATTTAAAAGTCAATGTACTTATCAATCCGTCCATTTTTTCTTTGATAATCTCCATATTAGAAAAGTTGCATGAAAATGGAGAATGATTATTCAAACCTTGAATAGATATATATATATATATATATATATATATATATATATATATATATATATATATATATATATAAGTTAAATAAAAGCTTTTAAAAACGGTTGTAATATAAATAATAAATACTAAAGCAGTGCAATTGCTCTCCTTTTCCTTGACATAGGACGTTTACTGGGACTCATTTTTTAACTTGTCTCTTATAACTTATATCACTAACCTAATGTAATACTTAAAAATACGCGTAAACTAAAGAACTTTTAACTTATACCACTAAACTAGTAATATATTACTTAACATACACGTAAGCTAAATAATTTCAATGTTTTCAAAATAAATAAGAATACTGTAAACTGTAAAAACTAAGCAAGTTGATAAAGAAAATACAAGAATGAAAGAACTAAAATGGATTCTAATTCAAGCGAACTAAACCGTACCGTACGCTCATGAGATTTGACGTCACTAATGCGATAACGATTAAGCGAAGCGACAATGATGAGGAACACGTTTCACTATTAGATTTCAGTATTTTTTAGCAATTTTCTTCAAAGTTTGAATACGCTTTTCTCGATTATTACTGGACACAGAAAGGTGAAAAAAAATCAACGATTACAGAAAAATAAACTCTTTCAACTGATGGGCGTGAAAAGTTTGGTTATAATAGAACGTTAAACAGTATAATCCAATTTTTCAACAGAAAATTCAAAAAAATAAAAAAAGTAAAACCATCAGTTTAAAGGCAACATAATTTCGTATAACATGTCCAAATTTCGAGACATTTCGTCGGTAAATAACAGAGAAAAAATTTTGGTGCACCGATAAAAACAGCCTTAAATGTACCTAATCGTTTCTACTCATTCATATTAATATATTGTTGTAAAAACAACATTTTATATTAATTTTAGTATAATTTTTAGTTCTCACAAATATTAGTTTGGATTTTATGTTAAAGACTGTACTTTTTGCCTGCAAACTATTTGTGCCATAAATAGCTTATAAGGGTTGTTTAAAGTGGTAAAACCGACGCCGCTTTGTCGGCAATTAGGTAAAGATTCAATTCAAAATCTCTCGCAGATGTGACTAGTGTCTCAAGCTGTTCGGTACTAGTAGCCGGTACCTAAGCTCTCTCTTCGCCGCCAAAATGCAGTGAAATGTGTATTTGTTTTCGCGATAGCTCACGCGCCCCTAAAACGCCGGTATAGCAATGGACAATGTTTTAAAGCGAACTCTTTCTTTAGTATTAGTGCTTGTGTAAATATTCTCTTGTTATTAAATGTGTAGATTCAATT